CTGGATGACGCCAGCGCTCCTCGTCTGGTCATCGTTCGACAGCCTCGCGGTCCCGACAATTCAAAGGTAGGTAACTGACCTTTAAAATGCAAGGATTATACATTGAGCAGCATGTTAGAGGGTTTTAGAGTCGCAACGGTTGAAATGAGAATCTTTTCGCAGAGTAGTGGTGACCGTTACAGGTGTACAGTTGGAGAGCGAATTGTTGGCTGTTTCTCAATTCACAAGAACGCGAGTATAGACTTGTGTCCTTGCCAAATATGTTTTTGAGAGGAACACAGGAAAGTGTGGACTTTAGGAGAACGGGAGCATGCAACATAAATATGGGTCCATATAGTGACGCTTTAAAGTATAATATTCTCAACTCAAATTGATAGATTTGACGGTTGCAGAGGCTGTATCAGAAGCATAAATAGGCCTTAAGTCACCAATTTTGTGCTACTTGGTCCCAATGTAATTTCCCTGCTAGCACTTAACTAAGTTGCTAACTGGTTAGCAAGATGCTTCTGACAACTCAGACTCAGACATACTTTAATAATCCCAGAGGGAAAACCGGCCACAATCAAACTTGCTTGCGAACCTTCCTCCACAACCATCCCGCCCTCTTGATAAACGACCAATCACATTCACTTTATTCACTTGTGTAATGTCGGGCACCACGAAGGAGAATTCGGAGCAGCTGCTTCCCTACGACTTTAAAAATCTTCTTTGAGAAAATAATTCAACTTTTTGTTTCTCCGTTCATGCAGGGCTTCAGTGTGGAGCGCAAGACTCGGCAGCCTGGTGTCATCGACTGAGCAATACACAGCCAGCCTTGGAGGGATGCTGTCCCTATGGAAAGCCGCAGGGGATAAGGGAAACTGATTTGACATGATGCTCGTTAACCAACTTATCCAAAAAAAATATACACACGCATGCAGTAACTGGCATGTGTAATCCTTGCCCTCATTTCAACATGTAAGGAAACGTTCCCCTCCTCCCATCTATGAAGAGCTCTGGTGTCTTACTGCAGAGTACGTGGGAATCCCTGACTGTATGCGTGTGTGACGTATCCTAGAAGCGATTAGAGTGAATTGGGGGTTTTGTTCCTAAGGGGCCTTGTCTCTCTAAGTCAGTATGAGGACTGTGTGGCTGTCTCTAAAGTCTGCTTCATCTGGAATTCTGCACCTGTAAGTTTGAATGGGTTAGATGGGTTATGATTGTTGGCATGTCGTTAATCTGCTCCTTTTTTGTTCCTCAATTCTCCTTTACATGTGGAAACTTTGGTTACCAAGCTTCTTTTCTATGTATGCTTTCCTTCAAACTGCATAAATCAATGTCTCCTCCATGCGGAGGATCATATGTCCTATATGTGCGAGCTTTTGGGGATCCATCTCTGCTCGGTTTTTTTGAGCAGTTTTAAAATGCTTTATTTGAAAGGCTGTAGTATAAAAGCATGGCGTGAGTGTGTATGTGAATGTCGAAGTAGTTTCTCTGAAGGAATTTACCAGTCTAGAGCCTTGAGATGCCTTTATGGTATTCACATGCTCCACTTCAGAAGGTTTTTTTTTTTTTTTCCCAGGTGCAGAATTCCTTGTGGCATCTTATATCTGCAGTTCTTTTATACTATTTCTTTTCCTGCGCATAATTTTGCTTGTCTTTTTTTTTTTGTTTTTTTTTGTTTTTGTTTTTTATTGAAACTTGGTCTGCTAATATTGAATAAGAATAAGGTGCCTAAAACTTCAAACAAAAAGGAAAAAAAAAATAATAAAAATTAGATGCGTTATGTTCCCAGCCAACCGCCAAAATATTCAAAACGATCTTAGGGTGGCTTTTTTTTTTTCTCCCTAGTAGGAATAATACAAATATGCATCCCGAACCTGTGGGTTGAATACTGTATATGTGTGCGTTTGTTTTTTTGTTTTGTTTTTTTCCCTCTCTGAGTGTAAGCTCAAACTTGACATAATTTAAGGAGATGGGTTATCTGTCAGGAATTCTGATTTAAAAAATAAAAAGCTATGAATCAGGATCTGTTTTGTTCTCTGGAGACAGAAGGGGGACCTGTTGTGCCTGTGAACATAACATTGCTGTCAGATCTAATTTTCTTTGATCAACAGGTTTTCAGTTGAACCACGAACGGAGGTTCTCATGTCCTTTGTTATTGGGCTTGAATGGAAAAAGAAATGAATAAAGTTTTATGAAAATCTGTTTTTTTGTCATTTTTCGAAAACAAACCCAGCATTTCTGTCTTTCTACAAATGTTATATTTTGATGTTTTTCTCTGAGTTTGAGGCACTTCAAGAACTGCAGCACCATCTAGTGGTGACAAATCTAAAACCAACCCCTCTCATGCATCTGTCATAGTTGAAAGTCATAAATACCTTAAACTCTGTCTAATGTTCCTGATCCGCTTACTTGACTTAAAGGAATAGTACACCCAAAACATGATTAGCCTTCATTTTCTACTCACCTCCATGCTGAACAACACTCTGGAGTACTTTTTTGATATCTCAAATGCATCTGGAGATCTGGGAGACTTCTTGCTGTCTGCTGACATTCAAATAATGGAGGTCTATGGCGCCCGAGACAGAAAAGTCCACAAAAACTTGTCAATATTCCTCCATACTGCTCGTCCAATGTAATCCAAGTGTCCTGAGTGGGTAGCATCCAGAATTTACTCGAAACGAAGTCATTTAGAACGTTTTAGAGCCTAAACAGTAGTGTATAGGATTTCCTAATAGCGCCCCCATGCGCGCTCACGATTCTACGGAAGCCGGCAGACCAAACCAGCGCATTCAGCTCGGCAAAGAACTCATGCTCTTCCTCAACACTGAAGTCCTCAGACATTTTTCTTTCGTTGTTTCTTTCTTTGCACAGGTAAACAGCACATTTCTTCTTCTACGCTTGCATTATCGGCAGACCAGACGCTGAATGCGCACTTCCTTCCGGTTTGGTCTGCCGGCTTCCGTAGAATCGTGAGCGCGCATGGGGGCGCTATTAGGAAATCCTATACACTACTGTTTATGCTCTAAAAACATTCTAAATGACTTCGTTTCGAGTAAATTCTGGATGCTACCCACTCAGGACACTTGGATTACATTGGACGAGCAGTATGGAGGAATATTGACACGTTTTTGTGGACTTTTATGGACCTTTCTGTCTCGGGCGCCATGGACCTCCATTATTTGAATGTCAGCAGACAGCAAGAAGCCTCCCAGATCTCCAGATGCATTTGAGATATCAAAAAAGTACTCCAGAGTGTTGTTCAGCATGGAGGTGAGTAGAAAATGAAGGCTAATCATGTTTTGGGTGTACTATTCCTTTAAGGTTAAACAATTTGTCAAATAAATGCAACAATATTCCTAAACTGATAATTGAAATGTGTCCAATGGATTATAAAAAAAAAGGCCTTAATAGCATTTTGTTGTGTCGGTCATAGGATTTTCAAAAACTATAAGATCTCTCAGCTATTAAAGATAGCTGGAAACCGAATAAATGAGTTAAACATCTGAATCGTTCATAAAGTTTACTACAAAATAAGAAGTTAAGAAGTATATATGTTCCTACACGTTTGTCAAATGTTTGAACATTTATATTTTTTTTTCTTTGACATTTGTGTTTAATTTGACCAACTCTACTCAATGTATGACTTGTAGGGAAAATGAAGTGCGGCTCCAATGCAGCATACGGAGAGGCTTTAACAAATGGATAAAATATAAACGGTGGTGAATCAAAATTACTCCACAATATAAAATAAGGGAGACTCTTGGACAAGATAAAAACTTCAGATTTTAAAGGAACCAAAAGAAAAAGATGTCTCAGGTTTGCTGACAGAAAAAAAACAGGTTGATCCCTGAGAACATTTTGAAAAATATTCTGCAGACTGAGACAAAACCCTGATAAAAGGAGTCCAGACTGGTGTCAGTGATGCTCTTTGGCTGCTTTAGGACCTTCAATAAAGTCTGCTCTATAGTTTATTGGAGATGCCTCCTATAAAACCCTTCCTATAGAACGTGTGTGGTCCAGTGAAATAAAGCACTACATTGGAGGTGATTCATTGAACTGGGACATGATTTGGTCTTCAATTGTCTTGGCCTCAAAAAACCCTAACCATTAACAGATACATTTCAACTATATACACAGGACTTACCTCACTCCTAAACTTCCTCATGAAACGTTTGGCATCTCCAGTCTGCACCCTGTGCCCAGATGGACTTATAGGATCCTATTTACATATGTACTGGGAATGCAAGGATGTGAGGTTTTTCTGGGGTGAGGTTTGCTCTTCTTTATCTAATGTGCTGGAGGTTGATGTACCATGTTCTCCCGTTGTGTTACTCCTGAATAATACCACCTCATTAAAATTGACATGCTGGAAAAAACGTATTCTCCTAACCGGCATCACTGCTGCCAAAAAGATGTTGGCTTTACGCTGGAAACCTCCACATACAGTAACCAAGCCCCAATGGTTTAACACGTACATTGACATAATAAATATGGAACTTTCAGTGGCAAGAATGCACGGTGCTGGAGCTAATACTGTTTTTTGTTGTTTTGTTTCTATGTGTTCCTTTCTGTTGTATCAGGTTGTAATATACCCCTTTTACCTTTATCGGTCTAATGTACCTGTTTCTCTTTAAAGTAATAAAAAAAAAAGTGCTCTATAGCTTTAAATCCCAGGACATCAGTTTCTCATATTAAGCCCAGTAAACTTCCCATATAGATTGACAATTCTAAAGCACACCAGGTCTCCTCGGCTTTAGGACTGTCCTAGTCAAAGTCTGGACTTGAATCTTTTTTAGAGGTCACAAACAGGGAAATGAATGCCAAAACCTTTAAAAGAGGAAGAATTGAAAATATTCCACAGAAAGCTGAGCCCAGTCTCCCCCACAGTGATATAAAAGAACTCGATGCCCGTCCCCACAAACACACCTTAGGTTCTTAGGCTTAAACAGCAAATACTCTTTAAAAAGGATGAAGCGTTATAGATGGTTTATTTTCTCAACAAAATGACTTAAATCTTTGGCATTAGAGCTCATTTAATGAAGTTTTACAATAAAACTCAAAAAGTGAATATGGATAAAGATAAATACTTTTTCGCAGCTCTGTATATCCAACCATTTTCTCCTTTTATTTAGACTAAAAATTAAAAGCAGGAAACATTTGAAATGCAGTCATTTGTTTGATTAGGAATGGAATTCTATAGAGCTACATAAAAGATTAAAATTTAAAATATGATCAATTGGTTTTCATCAAAACCTGAAGGATAAGGAAGGAAGTGAAAGTAGAAGTCTTTCATAGTTTGGTTCTGGGGGTTAAAAATGTCCTGATGGAGGTATAACGATGAGGAAGCAGGTTTTCAGCAGTTGGTTCTACACTTTGGTACTTCTCAGGTATACGGTGAGCTCAGAGCGGTGAATCACCTTCCTTTCCTCTAAGGATTGGGTCTTCTGAGCTGCTGACCAGCGTTTCCACCACTCCCTCAGCTCTGTGGGCCCTGTGGGCCGCCGCTCCTTTATCTGATTTGGAGGAACTAGAGCGTGAGGAGTGAGGTGGTCCTCTTTGGGCAGGAACTTCCTGTTGACATTTCCATCCACACTGGAATCACATCCTTCCAGATTTTCTTCCTTTTTCAAGCTGGCAGCCATCTTGACTGCATCTTTTTCACCGGCTGCCTCTGTGTCCTCCTGAGCAATATTCAGATTTGCAAAGAAATCAAACCCCTGCATCCTGCGCTTGTATTCCTCTAACGTAGCTTTGCAATCCACAGCCTTGGCTTTCAGCTGGAGGAACTGATGCTGCAGCTCTTTCTCATAACTCTCCTCTGCTTTCAGTTCGTTCTCCCAAAATCTGATGTGCTCCATCTCTTCTTCAGCCAATCTCTCCTGGGCTTCCTCTTCAGCTTTTTTGGCTTTCTGCTTTTGCTCGAGGTCAAAGATCTGTGTGTCTGTGTTTGCTATTTGGACCTGTAGGTCCTGCAAGCAGAGCAGCTGGCATATGATGGAGTCTCTGAGTCGATTCTTTTCATCTCTGGTTACTGCGGCGCAGATTGAGCTGCTCTGGTCAGATTTGAGCTCTCGACCTTTCTTTGAGCACTTGTTTTTCTCCTTTGTGGGACTTCCAATGCAGCAGGATGTTTGATGGTCCAAGTCAGACCTCAGACTTTTCTGACTTGTGTCTGCACCTCTGCAGCTTTGTTCCTGGTTTTCTTTTGTAACAAAGAGGGACAAATCTAAAGAGGCACGGCCCCGTTTATCTGTCCTCTTCTTGCTTTGCTTGTCACATGCCGTACTGTAGACCTTTCCTTTACCAAGACTTTCCAGCCATTCCCAAGCCTCTTCCACCAGAGATAGAGACTTTCTTTTAGGCGTCTTCAGGTTGTCTTTTTTCTCCTCAGCCTCTTCTCTCAAGCATGAAAGTGGCGGCAAGCTTTGACGGTGCAAACTTAGGGAGCCGCTGCTTCTACGCATTTTTGGTCCTACGTCTTTTCTTCTCAGTGGCGGGCAGGGCTGGTATCTGCCGACTTTTACTCTGGCCATTTCCTCTGCGGTGGAAGGCCCGTTGTGCTGCAGACTGAGCTGCACCTCCTTGGCCTGCTCGCTGTACCTCTCCAAAGTCTCCAATAGGCGTTCATCAGGGGTCAAGCACCGCTCAAAGTCTTTGAATTTCTCTCGCAAGGTGTAGCGCCCTGACTGCCCTGCAGAAGGAGATTGAGAGTACAGCTTTACCCAATATGTCTGAGCATGAATTGGATCTGGACTTAGAGGAATTCTTACCTAGAGATTGAGCCAACGCTAGGACCACTTCTTGGCACGTTGTTTCCTCCGTAACTCCACACACAACCCGTTGGATGCCGTTGACAGACACCTTCACCTCCATTTTGCTCAGTTCTTGAGCTGTAAATGAAGTGGTCTCTAACTAAACGGAGTTCTTGTTTCTGTCCAGGAGGAAGCAGCGGAGACAACTTAATGACCCCTAATTATCCGACAGTAATCAGTCAGCCTATCAAGCAAGATTGCAGGCGGACTGTGGCTGTAATATTCTCTGCCAATGCTGATGATTCTGTATAATAAAAAATTACACAGACCTACCCGACCGTCCTTTCTGTAGAAATCATCCTCTGACCTTTTCTGTCTTGATGTAGATGTTCTGATGGAGAGGAACAGCAGGGCAATTATAGCTCATTAAAATTCCTGAAGGCAGAAACCTCAGTGGACATTTTAAGATCCCACCCATCTCACATAATTAGCATCATGGAAAAAAAAAAAAACATCAGAGCAACACCAAAGGATGCAGACACACTGGAAAAAATCAAAAACTTGATAAGTAATTTTTTTCTTAAAATAAGTGCATTTGTTCTTGGATTACGGAGGTAAAAGAAACATTTTGCCATTTGAACAAGATAATTCACACTTAAAATAAGAAAGTCAAATTGCATTGTCTTATTTCAAGTGCATTTTATCTAATTATCTTATTTAAAAAAAAAATACTAATACTAAAAATACTAATTCCATTGGCAAACTATCTAATTTACCTACTCAAATTAAGGGTAAATACACTTAATTTAAGAAATGTTTACTTATTTCTAGATAATTTTTCCTGTGCAACTGTAAAATGGCAAAAAATTGAAATCTAAGTAACAATTTTTCTTAAAATAAGTGCATTTTGTCTTGAATTGTGAGACACTTTGCCAATGGAACAAGATAATTTACAGTTAATATAAGACAAAAGAGTTGCATTGTCTTATTTCAATTGCATATTATCTAATTTTCTTATTTTAAGAGTAAAAATACTCTTAAATATAAATAAATACTCTTAAATATAAATAAAAATTAAGGGTAAATACACTTAATTGAAGATATTTTTACTTATTTCAAGATGGTTTTTGCAGTGTACTACTGTTGTCTTACTGGAACTTTGAAGCTCCTGACAAAACATTTGTTTTTTATCTTTAACTCAGATAACGATTCTTCAGAATTTAAAAGTGGTTGAATTTGAGGGTAAGATGGAAGAAAACATGTAAGCTTCCTTCTTCTTGCTGTGCCTCAGTCCAGGGGCGGAGCTAATGAGGGCCCCCAGGTGCCTTCTGCACAATAGTTGGGGCTAACAAAAAAGGTTGCAATCGACCCATCTAGAACTTAACAGCAAACATAAATCAGAGAGAAGGATTAACCTCTAAATAGGGCAAAATTTAAAGAAATCAATGTCAAAAAAGTGAATGTTAATATACCATGAAATGTATAAAAGCAAGATAAAATAAAGTGCCATCAAATAATCACATGAGCCATTTATTTGTTTTGAAAAAAATCATAAAGTAATAAAATTCTGAAACTGGCTATGAAATAATAAAACGTGTCATTAAATAATTGAACATACGTCATTTCAAAAATTAAAGGTATAGAGGACGCCTTTTATTTCCGGATGGATCATCTAAATAAATGGTCGGGCATATATCTGTGGTGAGCTACGGTTTCAGACAGTCATTGAAGCTCACCTTTCTCACCGCGGTTCTTTGAAAATGGCCGAGGGTTGTGATAGAAAAAGTGTCTAAAAAGTCAATGAGAAGAAAAGAAAGACCTCAGAAGAGGCAGATATATCACGGAATGCGTACAGAGCTCTCCTTGCAAAGCATTATGGGAGTTGCTGCTGCTACCCGACAGCGGTCACTATTAACAAAGATGGTGCAGGCACCACACTGTGGACCAACAAGGAAGTGATCCTCTGTCCGAACGGTAAGTTGTTCACTATAAAGGCCCCGCTCTGTATACTGATGGAGGGATTTAGGGGTTAGGATTGACATTCGGCGACAATAAGCTTGCATGAGCTATGAGAACAGCAACTTTTAAGCATTGCATGGGAAATAGGCTTGTGCGTAAAGTGGAGAGGGTGAGTCTTTTAAGAAATTCCTCCACAATGCCTTTAAATTTAGGTTCATTAAAAAAAAACACATTTCAATTTATATGTAATTATTTCACTCTGTATGTATTCATTTCATGGCACGGATCAAACTGTTAAGACTGTTGTTGGGCGAGTTTTCACACTCTGACAAATGATGAAAAGAAGACAATGTCTTTCTAGTTTGCTGCAATAGGAAGAAAGTTTTCAGCAAAAAGTGTGAACATGACTCTGGGGGTAAACATGCAAACCTTTACATCCACACTGAAAAGACGATCTAGAATTAGTAAAAATGTCTTTAAAACTGAATTTCCCCTAATTTGAGTAGATGAATGATATAGTTTCCCAATGGAATGAGTATTTTTACTCTTAAAATAAGATACTTAGATAATATGTACTTGAAATAAGACAATGCAGTTGTGTTTTCTTATTATAAGTGTAAATTGTCTTACCTAGCAAAATGTCTTTTACCTCCTTAATCCAAGAACAAATGCACTTATTTAAAAAAAAAAATGATAAATCTAGATTTCGATTTTTTTCCAGTGCAGGTTGTTTTAAAATATCCCTAATAATTCGAGGAGAGAGTGGAAGTCTGTGATAGTGAGTAAGGCAAAGTGTGATCCTGCCTGAAGTTGGTGGAACATCCTTATGATTTTGTCCAGTTTCCACCGAGCATCCACCCCATCACTCAGTTCTCCCCACCTCCAGTAGAGGGGGCCTATTTATTAAGAATGTCAAGGCAGGAAATCAGCAGACCGGTGAACATTAGATAATCATAAAATCATCATGACCAAATCGTTACCCTGCTGCACTAATAGATTTTTAAGTAGGTGCATTGTAAGGGCTAAATCAATTGTTTTATGATTATATGGATTGGCACAGAAACTGCACTGCACAAAGTTGAAATCTAAATAAGTCATTTTCTCTTTAAATAAGTGAATTTTTTCTTGAATTGAGGATGTAAGTGAGACTCTTTGCCAATGGGACAAGAAAATTTACATTTAAAATAGGAAAAAGCAATTGCATTGTCTTATTTCAAGTGCATATTATCTAATTATCTTATTTTATGAGTAAAAATAATAATTCCATTGGCAAACTATCTCATTAACCTACTATAATTAAGGTTAAATACACCTGAGTTAAGAAATTTTTACTTATTTCTAGATCATTTTTGCAGTGTGTACCTGATTAGTCCATTCAACAAATGTAATTTTTAATAATTTTCAGTTTTACTTTACTAATGTTTAAGACATGAATGTGTTTTACTTTTACCATGAGCTATAATAAATTAGGATTAGTTTTCTTGAACTAGATCAGGGTCTCCACAGTTGTGAGTGGCTTCTTGGCTCTCTTGATATATGATATATTTTTTTATTTAGCGTCTTGCTCTGTGCCTTAATGAAATAAGATTGGCCCAACTCTGTCCCTGCTGGTGAAACTGGTCTAGATCCACCACTGTCAGTGGATGGTCTTCTTGACATCTCTTAGGTGAAGATAGGGATATCTAAATATGAGAGACGGACCGCTAGTAGCAACTATGGCCTTCAAAGACTAAAAGCATCCTCATTTAAACAGCTTTTGGCTTCAAAGGATGCATTTGCTTTATTAAAAGCATGACACATTGTATAACTTTAAAAGTCAGATAACATTTGCAAAGATCATCCTCATTTCCCATTACTACCGCTAAAAGATTTTCAGTTGCAGAATACTCTTTCCACTTATAGGTGACTGATTAAACACTGCTAAGTTGGATGACTGTAAAGGACAGGGGAGGCTGAAAAACATTAAAATGCTTTTCTGTTTCGTTTACCTTTAGAAAACTACAAAGGTACCTATGGATTAAAAGCTTGACATGATCTCTAATTTTTCTTTGATTATAGCTGATTTGTTAAACTGTTAAATATTTTCCTTTACTTGTTTTTCTAATTTAATTTTTCTTTCTTTTTTTCTCTTTTTGATGTAATCTCTACCCTGCATGTTATTACCTATTCTGTCCTGGCTTGTTATTGTTTTTAGCAATGTTTAGATTCCCTGTTGAACTGTATTTGTTGTTGTTGTTGTTGTTGTTGTTGTTTTTTTATTAGAAAAGGAAAATCAATGAAACAGACTTTGACTGAAAAAGAAACATGCAAAAGATGTTGTTTCTATGTCTATACATTATACCGCTCCAGCTTCCCCACAATTCATTGTGATACTTTAGAAACTTCTATGTATTTCATTAGGATTTTATCTGACACGTCAGAACAAGGAGGTTTGTAACTATAAATCCCTTTTACTCTGATTCCAACACAACCAACTGTTTTAAGAAGTCACCAGGAAATGGAGTCCAGTTGTATTGGATTTTATCAAAGTATAAATTATTTTTTGGTTGTTTGTAAGAGAAACTTAGCGGACAAACAGCATCATGCAGGTTAAAAATACATCACACAGATCAAGGTTTAAGAATTTTAAAGCAGAAATGGCTTTAGACTGAATATGGAAAGTAAACAGACAAAGAAGCAGCCATAAAGTCTATGGAAACTCCAAAAGACAGGTTCACAACTCCTGTAAAAGAATCTAAAAAGACGGCAACAGTTGATTTAGCCTGAGGATTGACAAAAAGAAGGACAGAGTTGAGGGAAAGCCATAATAAGGTTTATATCCAGTTTCCCACAAAACAAAAACACAGCAATAGAGGAAATAAGCGGTCTGCTCCATTTATGGATATAAACACACTTCATCACCATGAACACACAATCATCACTGTGAAATGTGGTGGTGGTGACAACATGGTTTGGAGAGGATTTTTTTTTATTATTAGGTATTGGGAAGCTGCTCAGAGCTGATGGGGATATGGATGGAGTGTAATCCTTGGCATACAAGTCTGAAAATGTTGCTACAAGAGGAAAAGAATAACCATTTGCTTTAAATGTAAATAGAGAAAAGCAAAATGTGTAGCAAAAAGAGTAGTTACTAAGCAATCCTGGCCTGCCTGGACCGGCTGAACTTTATTTTAGGTTTAAATTTTGAACATTTTGAGATGAGTTTATGATCATAAATAGTCGTCTCATGTAGCACTAGTGATACATCCTATTCGTTACCTCCATCTATCACATTAGAACAAAGACTGATCACGATCATCCTTGGTAATAAAACCTTCCCTCTATGATGTGGCCAATCAGTTCAGTTCAATTCAATTTATTTATAAAGCGCCAATTCACAACACATGTCATCTCAAGGCACTTTACAGCTCACCAGATCATACAGTCAGGTTGATTCAGAGTTTTCTATCTAAGGAAAACCAGTTGATTGCACCGATT